CAACTATTTATGAATTTTTATATTAAAATAAATTTACAAGGAGTTGTAACCAAGTTGCAACTCAAGTTGCAACTTACCGAGTTGCAGCTTCTTAATTATAGTACATATCTTTAATTATTACTAAAAAACTTACTTCTCAAGATATTTTTATACTATTACAAAAGAATATTTTAGAAGAAGATTCAAACAGTTAGGTTGATTATAACATCAAAGTTTTAAAAAACTTTTTATGTATTATTAAAGAAAAGTCTTATAATATTAAAATTGAATATGCACAGATATATTCTTTTTTTCTTATTTACATTCAAAAAAAATTAATATTATCTGGTTAGGTTTAATCAAGAGATATAAAGCATATATATCACTTATCTTTATATTTACTTTAACTTTTAAAATCTATAATTGAGAAAGGATTCATATTTTAGAGATTTAATAATATTAATGCATTTTATCTTTTAGAATCTAACGTAAATTGAGAGTATATTTTAGATAAATAAAAGAAATAGACTGCAGATCAAGCATTTAGAAATGATTATTTCAACTATCTATATAGTATTGTATTAATAGGAACTGAGTGGTATTTTATTATGTATACTTCAGATGGTATTTATTTCACAAATAGTAATGAAATCTTATAAAGTTTGTTGTTAAAGAAAATCCTAAATTACTTCAAAGTAACGCGAAAAGAATAATTGGTATCATTGTTAAGTTGCTAAAGGATCATGTTAGTGTAGATAGTTTTCCAGCTAGCAAGAGGATTAGAATCAAAAAATTTATTAAAAAATAATATATATCCTAAGCTAAGTTCTAATCTTATATCTTTTATGTATTAATAAAAAATTTTTCTTGGCAAAAAATAGTATAAGGTCTATATACTATTAGCTAATACAACCTAATTGTTTATAACATGTCTTCTTATATATACTAACAAACTTTTAAAACTTTTAAATATTTTATATATTATATAAAAATAATTATTAATCATATCATTCGAACTTGAAGTATTAAGACAGATTATTGAGAAAAATGCCAGGTATAATATTAGAGTCAAGGAACTAGAGCAAAAAAAATATAGAGCTTGAGAGCAGAGTTGCAAATATTGAACTTAAAGCTAGAGTTGTAAAATTGAATTATGTTATAGATGAACTTAAAAAAGAATCAGAATCTACAATTTCAAATTAGATGCATCCAGATGTTAACGAAAAACTGATAATTGAATATCATTTTTCTTTCTTGAATAGATTAGAGCTTGATGCTTTCTTCCAAAAATATCGAATTACATAGGAAGTGCAAGGGGCTCAGCATTGGCTTCATAGCACTAGCTGATATAAGGATGTTAAAAAACTTGAAGACATCGTTAATCATGATCAGCAAAAAAGATACATATGTCTAGATAATAGAATCTTCCTTATTGAGCTTATTGAGGTATGATATAACCAAAACCCAGAAACCAGAAAGGATACGAAAAATTAAGGAGTTTGTTTGTTTAGTATCCAAAAGTTTTGATGTCTTATAATCAATAGTCTTATAATACATGCGACTCTATGTTTAATTGGTAGATAAATATATTGTATATCACAGTTAAGCTATTAGCACAAGTAAAAAGTGGTGATATCAGAGGCGAGTCACGATCTCAAATTTCAAATTATTATTGTGTTACTTTGCATCAGTATGATGATCATGGGTATAAATAAAATCTGTCAGCCTTAAATAGTTAAATGGAAAATAACAAGTAAGCTAGAATTCTATTACCAAAGTACATACACGAACCATGGATGAGAGTGATAATAATAGATCCTTACAGGTGAATTTTCACGTGAATAAAAAAGTAAAAGTCAAAAAATTCGCCATGTCAAAATTTAATTTGTTGATATAACGATTTTTATATATGTTCATAAAGACAAAATTTTAAAATTCGTTTATCGTGAAATTCATTATATCGCATAGTCGTTCTGACTGCAGTTTAATTGATAATGGGCTGTCTTAGGAAATAATAAATGAATTTGAAAGCTAGAGGGTATAATTCAAAACATTATTTTATGCAGGTTAAACGGAGTTGTACACAAGGGCAAGGAGGTAACTCCACCATTTGTTCGTTTGATTCTTATAATCATTGTGTGGGATGCAGTAGCCCTGCTTTGAACATACAACATAAGTCGACCTTCAAAGGCGAAACACAATTACAAGTTAAATCTTCAGAAATTAGTCGCATATCTGGAGAAAATGCGGTCGGTTCTTATGGAAAAATTACTGAAAATGACAGAGGGGAGGAAGAGAGATCTTCCAACTACAATAAATCTCACATTCTCCGTTCGAAAGGAAAACTTCAAGTATTACTTTTTTTGAGTCTCAGTTCGTGGACAAACGAAAGAAGAGAAAATACAGGCATTCATGATGGACGAACTAGTAGCGAAAGAGAGAGTAAAAGTAATGAAGACAATGTATTTAAATGTCGAAACCGAGAAAAGAATGGAAGTTTACTCACAATTCTGGGGCCATTGTTCAGAGTCGGTACCCTGGAGGGCTTTTTATGGAGAGAAGACTACCCTAAAACGCTGTGCTATCTTGTTGTCCCAAACAGTACGCCTAAGTGGAGAACCGATGCCTTCATGTCCCATTTGTGTAACAATAATGAAGACGACTCATTTGGCAATAATCCTACCGTGGCCGTCGAAATGATCGAGAATCAATCAGACCGTTATCGTATTGCAAAATCTCTTAATATACAGCTACGAAACAGTGATCTTCGAAAAGATTACATATATGATGATGTAATGAGTATTGCACAATATGGCTTCAATCATATAATTATTATTGGGACTTGTTATTGTGACTTACTTTTTTTGGATTGCTATGAACGTGTATTCAAATGGGACGCTATAACCAATATATTATGGTTTTTTGGGAATTTTTTCAATGCAGTATCAGAGAAACCAGTGCTATGGGACGTTTCATCAGACGGAACTGTATGGGAGCTATCTGGTATTTATGCATATTTTTGCTTGTTCTCTGTCTTAATATAACTAGTTTCTTTTTTTTTAGATTTGGATTCGCCGGAAGAATGCAATTCTCACCCCGCAAGTGACAAGAAAAAAAAGAAAAAAGGCAAGAAAAAGAACCAAAAAAGGCATCATTGATATGGACATATTCTGGATTTTTGAATTTCGATTTATGGATTATGTTTATAATAATTATATTGGGCTGGATAGATATTTTTTTCGGCATTAAATTGCATTCTTTGTAATCGTCAAATACTTTTGCTTTAACATGGTTGTGTAATTACATCGAAAAAAATAAGAATATGCTAATCATCTCTGTATTAATAAAATACTTAGCTTGGCAAAAGTGATCGGTGTTACAATTTATAATGCGCACATGATTTTATTTTAAAATTTTTATCAATCATGTTGTCCGAGCTTAAAGTACTAAGTCAGCGCATCACCGAGCTTGAGGTTGAGAAAGCTGAGCTTTGAGGCTAAGAATGCTGAGCTTAGAGAAAATGTCGCGAAATTGTAAGATAAGCAGTTGCAAACAAAATAATAAAATACATTATCTGTATCATGAACAAACGTGATCATGTATCCCAGGCTATATACGAACTTTGTATTTATAAAATGTATCGCAAAATAAAAGCTTTTTAACACTGCATTTAATCTCAGCCAGTGACGATAAATTTAGCTGAAGGCGCGATTCCAAAGGTATCCGCTGTGCATATATGCTATTTTTTGATCGCTGAGCTTAAAGCATTCTAAGTATTGTAAAATTGCATATTTAATATATATTGATATAAAGTGATAAAATTTATATATAGGGATAAGTGTATATGAAAATAATAATAAGTATAATAATTTTAATAAATATAAAAAGCAATTGGTTTTTTTTAGAAAAAATGTAATTGTGATCGCTTTTTAAGAATTCCCAAAGAACAATTTGCAGAATTAAGAGAATCCTTTCAAACTCTTAAACCAGAATAAGATATATAAGCATTTTAGAATATAGCAGACTTTCTTATAAATTTTACAAATTTTTTTAAAAATTACTTTTTTTTGAATTTTATATTTTCTTAAAAGTTACTATACTTCTACTACAAAGAAAATGAAGTTATCTATTTTTAGATACTGATCATTTACTTAATCAATGAGATTGATATATATTATTTTTAAATGCTAATCTTTTTTAATGTAATATTTTTTAAATTGATTTCCTTTTATAATTAAAAAATGTTGTTTATACTAAAACTTATTCAAATATAACTAAAACTCCCTTTGTATTTTCAGAGTAGTTTCTATCTTTTTTAAAGCATCTATATAATCATAGTATAATACCATTTAAAATTTAGGAATTATGAATTTATTTCTCTTATAGATATATAAGTGAATAGATTTTTAAATTAGTTCTGACTAAAGATGAGAATTATAATTAATATATTGCAATTAGTTTTAACCTATATATGTTGCAACTAGTGATACCTGACTAAACTCTTTTTTGAAAAATTGTAATTTCGTCAAAAGTTTCGTCTCTTTAATATTGTTATATGAATAAATATAAAATTATTATATTTTTTAATGTATTTTAATTCAAGAAATTTAGATCAAGTTAAATATAATTTCGGCAATTAAGTAAAATAATTTCATCATTAATAAAAAACTAGTTTTGTCATTTTGGTTTTGTCAATTTCATCATATTAAGAAAGGTAATTTCGACAGGTATCACTAGTTGCAACTAATTTTAGCTTAAATTACAACAAGTTATAAATTTAAAATTAATTGCTATATCATCTTTAATTCTAACTATATATAAAATTAAAATGAAAATCCAAAAGTTAAATATTTTAACTTTAGAGATCAAAATTAAAATAAAAGTTGTAATGATCAAATGACGTTATATCACATGATTTTTCATATATAAAAAAATTTTAAAAAAAAAAATATAAGCTTGATAATTATTTTTAATAGAACAATTACTATTAATTTCTTGTGATTAAATAAATTTAATGAGTTAAATATCATTGATTTTAGATCAGCTAATAAGATAATTGTGATTGAATCATCAGCTAAAATTTTAATTCAATAAATTCTACTTTAAATAAAGGAATCCAGATTTTGAAAATGTGATCATGATTATCATAAGATTAACTAATCTAAAATCAATGATATTTAGCTCATTGGATCTATCTAATCATAAGAAATTGTATGGTAGTTATTTCATTAGAAATAGAACGATATTAATTGAGATTATATATTTTTTGTTTTTTAGATTTTTTTATATATGAAATTTATATGATATAGGCATTATTTCAACCATTTTAAATAGTCAAATGATTCATTTCAACTTCATATATAGTTTTGACATATCCTTTTATTTGATGAATTCTAGGATCTGAATATCAACTTCATTATAAGCTTATAACGAATTTTTTAAAGAATTTAATTGGCTAGTTCACTATAGTAAGCTAATTTTAATATATTTGATTTAAAAATTTGCTATATCAAAGGTTCGCTATATCAAAGTTTGACTGTAAGAATTTAATCTAAATGTAATGATATTTAATCTAATATAAAATTTTAATAATTTTTGATACTAAGAAATATTATAAAAATTTATCAATATTACAAGTATTATAAGCTTACTCACTTATTACCATCTAGTAATATTTTAAAATCATTAATAATTTTTGCTTATAATGTATAATAATAGTAAAATTATTCTAATTAATATATTTTTATATATTAATTAAAAATGTAGAAAATTAAAAAATACATAATTTTTATTAATAATAAAATATTAAAATACTATTTTAATATTTTTTTAATATAGCTCTGCCAACTTTTTTATTAAGATATATAGATTTTTTAAGAAAAACAAAAGAAATTACAAGTAAAAAAAATAAACCAAATTAAAAACTATTTAATAATCTAGATTAAATATTAGCTATTCTAATAATAATATATGAAATTATACTTATTTATCTAAATCAATTAAAGATACCTTTTTAAAAAATTTGAGTTTTGTGATATTTGAGATAAATCTAATAAATATCTTTACTTAAACTTTTAATAGGTTTTTCTAAATTTAATTAAGCTTCATCAAGGTTCAGATTTTAAAAAAAAGCCATTTTAAAGGGTTCAAAATAGTTTTCAATTTTTAAGTTACACATTAAAATAGGTTTTAAATAGTATCATTAAGGCTAAGATTGCTAGGTAAAATCAAGAGTTTAGATAGATTTCTAAATGGTGAAGGTAAAACTTGATTAAATTATATTAAAATCTTATTAAAAAATCTGTGAAATTCAGAAAAAGATAAAACTATATTAAAGTTTATAAAATAGTAAAACTATATCAAACACTTAGTAAAAATTTAGCAAAACTAAAGGTTTAAACATTTAGCTAAATCCAAAATAAATTTAGATAAGCAACCTTAATTAAGGCTAATCTATTATTATCAATTCTCTCTTTTGAACCTAAAGAAACTAGTCTAATAATTACTAAAATCATTATATCAAGAGTTTATTGTATATGGAAGGTGGTTAGTAGAAAAGGGGAAAATCTAAATTTTGATCAAAATTTATATTATTAGATCACTTCTTGGCTAATTTCGATTATGTGTACAAATTTGGCTTAATAATAAAAATTAACAAAAATTTTGAATTTCTCACTTTCTACTCATATTTTTAGTAAAACAATTATTATAATATAGGAGGAAGCCAGTAGAAAAAGAGGAAATCCAAAAATTTTGTTAATTTTTATTATTAAGCTAAATTTGTGCTCATGACTGAGATCAGCCAAAAGGTTCAATAATATAAATTTTGACCAAAATTTAGATTTTCCTCTTTTTTACTGATCACCTCCTTTATATATAAATATTATATTATGATTCATATAATTAATAGTAAATTTCAATAAGATTATTATAAATTAATAATAATTTTTTTAATATAAATAAATAATAAGAAATTTTAATATATTAAATATATAAAATTTTTAATTTTAATAATATGTTTTTTTATAAATATATAATATATAATATTTAAATATTTTTATTAGTAATTTAATATTATAATTATAATTTTTTTAATAATAAAAAAAACAGTAGAAAAGTGGAAAATCTAAATTTTGGTCAAAATTTATATTATTAGACTATTTGGTTAATATTGATCATGTGCATAAATTTGGCTTAATAATAAAAATTAACAAAAATTTTGGATTTCTCTCTTTTCTACTGATTGCCTCCCATATATTTAAAATTAATTTAAAAAAATTTTAATTTTTTATAAAGTAAATCAAAAAAAAATATTATAATAAATAAGTAAGCAAATCTTTTATATTCTAAGAGATAATATAATATATTTTATTTTTATTAAAGATTTTATGAACTTTAGTATTAGATAAAAATAAGAACTGTAATTAATATGTTGCAATTAGTTTTAACCTATATATGTTGCAACTAATTTTAGGTTATGTTGCAATAAGTTGTAAATTTGAAATTAATTGCTGCATCATCTTTAGTATTAGATGAAAATGAAATTCATATTTTAATTTAATTAACAAAATTGATGATAGTGAATGAAAAAGATATATATTTGATTATGATGATATTTGCGTAATAAAATAATTTATTTTATTAATAATAAATTTGCGTCAAAAAATTCTTCTTAACTTGTTTGTACCAATTATAGCTAGACTATTTACAAAAAAGGGAATTACCCACGAGAAGTTGATCAGCACAAACTCAGACACGTTTTATTTGTAACTTTGTAGGAGATGTTCGCTGAAATTACACGTTTGAATTTACTTTTTACAAATCCAATAATTATGGATCATTTACTCGGTCGGGAAATAAACCACGTTTCAGATATTGCAACCATCATTTATATACTTTCGTGATTTTCAAAATTTTTTGAAAAGTTTTCTTAAAAAAAAGAAACAATCATGTCGGAGAGCCCAAACAATGATTTAGGCTTAAGAGAGGAGGATGAGGATGTAAATGATGTGAATACTCCAGTATATCAACGAATTGAAGATGATTCAAATGTTTATACACCTCGTAATCCTTTATCTTCTCCCGCAACTGTGGCTTCCTCTTTGGCTACACCCAGATCGATATCGTCACCAAGGACTCCCATTTCGCGTAGATCTCTAAGATCACTTACCAACACACCGCGAAGATTACATGCTTCTACACCACAAAGAAAACCTATCGACACTGAAAATCTAGCCGAAGACCCCGAAACTGATATTCTGAAAGAGTATTACGATGGGTATGGAAAGATTTATTGAATAATTTTTCGCGTTTCAATTAAATATTGAATGAATTTTTTCATTATTATTTTATTAGAATAAATTCTGGATCTGCTACGCCAAGGACTCCTAGAAGGCAACAACGGCGCGGTGATATTCACAGCGCTCGTTCGTCTAAACGCTTTACCGATCTCGATATCAATGAAGATCACGAAGATATAACGATGTTTGAAGATCAAGAAAGGGAAAATCGAAAGGATCAAATTTGGGGTACAACTATTAGAGTGGAAGAGGTTAGAGAAACCTTTAAAAAATTTCTCAAAGAATTTAAATTAGCGGATCGGAAGCTTAGAGATGGTCTCCCAGTATTAGAATCTGACAATAAATCATTTTATATTGATTATTTAGAGAATGTGAGTTTCTCATCTTTCTTTCATTGCAAAATTAAATTAAATAATTATAACTAACTTATGCCTTTATTTATAAAAGATTGAAAAAACAGAAGTATTTAAATTTAATCTTGATACTCAAAATCTTCTCGCTTTTGAAGATACATACAAGCTGTATTATCAAATTATACGATATCCTCAAGAAATAATACCAATACTTGACTACGTTCTTGCGCAAATTTACGCAGAATTGTATAAGAAGGAACCAACAGAAGATCTCAGGGTATTGCTTTTTTTCACACTCGCTTGTCGTCAATTAATTTTTTCTTTTAATTGATTTATTTTTTAAAAAATAAGGTTCGTCCATATAATCTTGGAATTTCTAAAAACATGCGTGAATTGAACCCAGCAGGTAAGTTTGGAATACTACGAACATGTAATTATATTGTTGGTAATCATTTTTAATCTCTCTTTAGATATTGATCAGTTGGTTTGTATCAAGGGTCTTTTGATTCGGTCATCGCCTATCTTGCCCGAAATGGCAGTTGGTACGTTGTTAATTGATAATTGCGAAATTAATTTTTTTTTGAAATAATTTTTATTAATTTTCTTATGATAAATTTCACATATATATAATATAGCCTTCTTTCGATGTTCAATATGCGATAAGTCCGTTGAAATTGAGGTTGACCGTGGCAAGATTGATGAGCCATCCCGATGTCCTCGAAAACAATGTAATTCATCTGGCACAATGACTTTGATTCACAATAGATCTGCTTTCAAGGATAAGCAAGTATGTCGGTTACAGGAAACTCCAGGTGAATATATTTTGTCTTTTTTTGGGAAGGATCAAATTGATATATTAAATTATTTATTCCCTTGTTTTTAGATTGTATTCCCGACGGTCAGACTCCACATACTGTTTCCTTATGTTTATATGACGATTTGGTTGACATCGCACGTCCTGGTGATAAGTGAGTTTATATTTCTCGGTATTTATTTATAAACTCATTCTAAATTCTCAATATTTTATTTTATTTAACTTTAATGTCTATAATTTCATAGAATCGAGTTAACTGCTATTTATCGGTCATCTCCAATACGTGTCAATAATCGACAACGCACCATTAAATCGTTGTTCAAGACATATCTTGATGTCGTTCATATTAGGAGATCCGAAAGAATTCGTAATAATGATGATAATGATTTTACACAAAAGTATTAAGGCTTAAATTTAAAAGTCTTGTTATTAATGGCCATGATCTATAATATTAAATGAAATTTTATATATCCATTTAGCTATCATGGACTTGAAAACGAAGATGAGGAAATGGAGGATGGACCCGATCAATTATTAAAGTTTGGTAGTGGACCAAAACGAAAGCAACCAAAGTTTTCTGAAGCTGACAAACAATATTTTGACGATTTGTCAAAGAATCCTCTTTTATACGAAACACTGGCACATTCTTTAGGTAAAATACTCAATTCAAAATGACGCTAGAATTCTGTAATCAATCACGTACTTATGCACTTTTTAATTTAGCTCCTAGTATTTTCGGAATGGATGATATAAAAAAGGGTATTCTTTTACAATTGTTTGGTGGTACTAATAAACATTTTAAGAAGTCTGGTTCCCCTCATTTCAGAGGGGACATAAATATTCTTTTGGTGGGTGATCCTGGTACTAGTAAGTCACAAATGCTTCAGGTAAAATTTTATTTTACAAATTAGCATAACATATATATATAATTTTTTTTTTTAAAAAAAAAAACTAACCCATATTATATTCAATCTTTTAAAGTATGTACATAAAATTGTACCACGTGGTATTTATACTTCTGGTAAAGGTTCCTCCGCTGTAGGTTTAACAGCATATGTTACAAGGGATCCGGATACGAAACAAATGGTTTTAGAAAGGTGCAAAAAAAAAAATTTTATGTGACATGTATTTGAATAGTTTTAAACTTTAATCCTTATAAATTTTATAGTGGTGCATTGGTTTTAAGCGATGGTGGTGTATGTTGCATCGACGAATTTGATAAGATGTCGGATGGGACACGTGCCGTACTTCATGAAGTCATGGTTAGTATTTTTAACATATCTCTTAAATATTCATCAAATTATATTAATTTCGGAACCTTGTCTAAAAATAAAGGAACAACAAACTGTTTCAGTTGCGAAAGCTGGAATAATTACAACTCTTAATGCGCGAACTTCTATTCTGGCTTCTGCTAATCCTATTGATTCAAAATATGATCCAAAAAAATCTATCGTGAGAAACATTGATCTACCACCAACTTTGATGTCTAGGTAATACGTTATTACAAGTTTTAGACAAAATCTTTCAATATTCCAAAGTAGATGATAGCTAATTTATATATCTTATAGGTTTGACCTTATTTATCTTGTGCTAGATAAGATTGACAGGCGAGCTGATAGGGAACTTGCAACACATCTAGTATCTCTATATGCTGAAGACACTCCTTTCTCAGCCGGTATTAACATTTTGGTGAGTAAAAGAAGGTCTTTTAGATATCTTGAATTCCATTAATCTTTAGTTATTTATTTTAATACCTTAGCCTATTGAAATTTTGGCGAAATATATTCAATACGCTCGTATCTATTACAATCCGATCATTGGAAATGATGAAGCGCATAAAGCACTGGTAGATGCTTATGTATCGTTACGGAGATTAGGACAAGACCCACGTTCTTCGGAAAAAATAGTTACAGCCACTACCAGGCAATTAGAATCTATGATTCGATTAGCCGAAGCATACGCCCGAATGAGGTAACGTATAATCTCATTTGTAAAATTGTAAATTAAATTTGAAGACTAATAAATTTAATGTTCTCTACAGGTTGTCGAATACGGTTGAAATTTCTGATGTTAGAGAAGCCGAACGACTTCTTAAAGAAGCCATAAAACTTTCAGCCTTGGACCCCGAGACTGGAAGAATCGACTTGGATTTGATCACCACAGGATATGGAAGTTATGAGAGACGGTTGTTAACAGTTATGCGTGAAGAATTCCAAAAAATGATTGACCGTACGAAAGTAACAAACATTAATTGGAAGAAAGCATTGGATGACTTTAATGAACAATCCGATGTGGTATGTGATTAACGACTGATAACAAAAAAAATTATTTACAAGGTTCTATTTTTATTAAAAATATTTATTTTATTTTTTAGAAAATTGACGAAAAACAATTTGAGACCATGATTCATTCATTAGAACAAGAAGGAATGTTAAGACTAACTGGAAGTGGAAATGATCGTACAATAATAACTTTAAATGATGAATAATAAATTTTACAAGTGCTTGTATGAAAATGTAAATTTATTTCGTTGTATTAAAGGAAAAGGGAAATTTTGCTTGTCATATCATATTAAAAATAAATTTATTATAATAATCCTTGTCTCTTTAAGTCATCATAAGTCTTTTTATTGAAAACATTTCCATCTAGATCCTCAAATTCTTCCATTGTATCTGCTTTAAATTCATCAGTTTTACCTGTGCTTTTGAGTTTTTCCCATACTAAAATAAAATAAATAAATGAGTTATCATTAGCAAAGAGCAGGAAATACAATAAAACATTTTGAAAAGAAAGAGATACATACAAGCATAAGCATCTTCGATTAATGTAATTTCGTGAAAATGACGCGTGTTGGGTATTCCCAAACATCTCATTCCATGAGCGTGCCTCCATTCCTGAAAATGTCTATCAAACGCCTTTCTTCCCATATAAACATAATTACCACATATTTCACACGGGTATTCAACACCAAGACCGTGTAATTTATAAAGCCAATATGGAATTGGTTTACCATCCCAACCGAGGGGTAATTTAAGTGGATTATAAATTTTATCTTCATCTTCTGATTCGGATTCTACATCATCCACTTCTTCTGCCTCTAATTCCATCTAATTTAATAATAAAAAAATGAATTATAAATTTCTCACAATAAATTTAATATATTTTACACGAGAATTTTTTTTACTTACCCGTCGTTCTCGATCAGTTAAAGCTCTTTTTCTTTCCACGTTTGCTTTAGTATCTTCACGTTGGGAACCTAAAATTTCGGCATATTTTTGTATCAATGCTTCAGTAAATGCAATTTCCTTTTCACGCTTATCTTTTCCTTCATCTACTTCCAATTTTAACTTTTCACGCGTTTCATGGTCAATTGATGTGATCCCTTTCTCCATCATTGAATTTGCGGATTTTATATGCTTTTTACTTTTCAAATGAGCGTCATATACAGTCTTTTTTGAATAAGATTTTCGACCTTTTTAAAATCATAACGGAAAGATTAATTTTGTTAAATTTGTGCTTGTATTGTATCTAAATTGTATTTAAAAACCTACATGCTACACAGAATAAATCAATAGAACCATCATCTGCACCAATTTGTCTTTCCCATCCAGGAAACTTCCCTTGAGCCCATTTCTCATTGAATGTCCTCTCGGCATCAATTCTTATATCATCCAAGTTGGAAAGTGGTTTAACTCTTTTGAAGAAACTTTCCAGGTAACTTTTCAATTCTTGCAAGTACCTAATAAACGTATTGTCAACTGTAAAATAATTTCACCATTTGAAAAACAAAAAAAAAAAAAAAAAAAGGAAAAGCAAATAAAAAAGATAAACATGGATATTGTATTGAATTTACTTGAGATATTCTCCATATTTATGTTCTTTTGGATATTCCGAGAAATGATCAAATTCAGTTAAATAAGTTAAATAATCAGTTTTTTTAACATTTTTTAAGTTTACATATCGCTCATGAAGGGCATGTAAATCTAAGAAACGACCGCTTCCTTCTTCACCAGAAAATAACTTGTCGAGTTCTAAAAGATTCAAATACAACAAATTAAATAGTTATTTTTATTTTTATTTTTTATTTAAAACTTGATAATAAATATATATTTATCATATACCATCATCATCTCCATTCTGTTTTGACTGATTAATAAATTCCAATTCCAAAGGTTCAACAGTTTCATTAGGATATCTTCTGTGATAATCTTTAATTGATTTCAATCTACCATAAAATTCACTAAATTCTGAAGTACCAGATAAAGCATCGATTTCAGCCTTTCGCGCTCTATCGATTAATAATAAAAATTATGATGTACCTACTAATTAAAAAAGCTACACTATAAATGTCAAAGAATACTTGTAATTACCCGTCAGTGTCGTCGTACAACTCGTATAAGAATTTACTTCTGGAACTAATCCTGTCAAGGAAATCGCTAACCCTATGCTCGCGTGTCAACCTTTCTTTATGCTGCTTGTATTGTTCGAATAAAAAATTAAATATACAAGTTAGCATAAATCCAAAGGTTAAAAAATAGTTTTTTTTTTAAAAACTTTGCAAACCAACAGATTTTGGATCTTTCATGAATTGATCTACGATGGCTTGCTCCAAACGTTCAATTTCTTCGTGAGCTTTTCTTTGCTGTTCTAAGAGACTTTCCATTTCGTAAAAATAATATATGAATATTTAATAGACGAATAAACCTTGTCAGGATCTACGGGTTAATTTTATTTTTATTATTTTTATTTGCTAAAATCGATTTTTATTTCGCCGTGACACAAGCCTAATTCGATGATAAACAGTGTTTTGTCATCTAGTAGTAGACGTTGAACTACTCTTTCAAAGTTGATAGATCTATTAAAAATGTCACAAAATCAATCTAATGAAACACCTGAAACACCTAAACGTGGTTTTTCAATGTCCTTTCAATCAAGCAAAACAAAGATCGTAGGAAGTAAAACATTTATAAAGAAACGTAGACTAACAGACGATCAAGAAGAAACCGAACAGAAATCAAAGGTTGAATACATTACTGTGTTTGAAGATATAAAATCCAAAGGGTAATTGCTAAAATATATACTCATTTTAGAACTAATGGTTTGTTATTTAACATTGAAGTTTACATTTTTCTTTTATAGTCTCAATTCCAAGAGAAAAGGATCGAATCGATCAAATTCATCCAAACAAGATACAAAGAATAAAAAAGATTCTGAAGACATAGCTCCGGAATTCTTGACAAATAATTCGGGGTTATCTTTTGGTTTAAATGTTATGAAGAAACCTACCAAGGATCCGAATGAAAAGCGAGAGAGCATATTGGAAAAGATTAAAGATTTTAAGTATAATCAACAGGAAGAGCAACTGGAAGATAAACAAGATACCGATAGCATATCGAATGAAAAGGTTGAATCTGAAAAGTCATTAAAAGAACAAGCTTTTGAAGCACTTTTAAAAAGTTAGTTATGAAAGAATATTTGATATTAATAAAAGTTAAATAGCAAAGTCGTAAATAAAATATTTATGCTTGTGGTTTTTCCTTAGAACTCGAAAAGGAGGAGACTCCGGAGGAAAGAGTAGAAAGAAAGTCATCATTTAAGGTCTAGGGGATAATTCTACCTGATCACTAGGTAAGGTGCATCATTATTTCTTAGAATCAATAATTCTAATTAAAAATTCATTAATTTAAATTTATCAATTTCACCTTGCCTAGATTCTCTATTATAATTATTAAATTGCAGACGCCAAACTCTACCATTAATTTAAATTAACAATGATTTAAAGTAATAATTGTTGTCTTCTTTAAATATCAAAACATTCTAGAAAACTCAATATTTAATATAACAAACTTAATGTGATTGCGCCAGACCTCAAGAAGAATCTAATTTCAATTGTTATCATCTAATAAATTAAAATATATATCTTTCGTTGGTTGATCAGTTCAACATATATCCTGTAGGATGAAAAGCTTCGCTATTTTAGGGAAATTTATAGAACTCTTTTGAGTTCAGTAGGAACTATCCATGTCATTAGCGAAGGTTTTTTCTTGCCTTGCGGTTTAAAAGATTAAGCAACAAATGGGAAAATTCTATAATTGAAAAGGTTATGAATTCTAATTCTCTTTTATATCGTATTCGTATAATAATTTTAATAAAATACTGTTTTTACCGGTCTCAAAGAAATCAAAATCAAAATAACATATATCGCGATAAAAAATGTGCATGTTTTCGATGTTTTGTTCTTTAGTACGGGCAGAGGTATTTGACAATGTTAATTAACATCACAACTTTCGGATATCGAATAAATTTAATGAATATTCAATTTGCATGTAATAAGCTGATTTTTTTTTTAAAAAAAAAAGGTTTCAAAATACTTTATTAATTAAAGATCAATTAATTATAAAAACAACGAAGTTTTAAACAATACAAAAAGAGGATCGATATAATATAAATAACATCTTAAACCATTAATCAAATCCAATTGAGAAATTATAATCTTGTAAATTTATTTGTTAGTTTCTGGTTCGCGTCAAAATTTTATGAACCTAATAATCTTTATATCCTCATATAAACCAAGATAGTTTTATAAGCAAAAGATCTTAAAATGAACTTTAAAAAGTAGAAGAAATCGCGTCATCTATTTATATACAGTATATATAAATATTCCACAATTTGTACATTACTGCGGAGCTCACTGAAACAGATGTTGGAGTTCGCTTGCACTTAATACGGAAATCGAGCTATCGTGAGATATTTTTATCGGTAAATTTGATATTTCTCAAAAGAAATCCATTGACATGAACAATATCGTTAAATTCCCACCAAAATTTATCGAAAAAAAAAAATAATGAAAAATTTGTTTAAACATACCCCAAAATAAAAAAACCAAGTTGAGAAAGTAAATATATAGAATTTAAATTAATCGTCATGTCACTTAAAAGACGAATGACTTTAAATCAGACTCAAGTAATCAAACTTATTTGATGAGAAATATCACAATTTACGGTCATACAAATTATATACACATACATTTTTCCTTTGGAAATTTGATGAATGTGGCTTTATTTATTATTATTTATAATACATCCACTGTTATGCTTATTTCTTTCGAGTGTGGTATAATTGGCGTGGACTAACCTTTCTTATCTTTCTCTGTGATATCACCCAAATCATTTTATAAAAATTTATAAGCATATCACGTAAGCAAAAACTGGCTGCTTAAATAACGCGTTGTGCAGTGTAACGAATACCAAGAATGTTTCTCGACATGGTGATCACGTGATATCATCAACGAACTAATGAATTACCATTTTTTATTATCGACGAAATTCTTTTTATTTTATTTATTTATTTTTTTTTTGTGTTTTGAAAAAAATTTAGAATGATAACATCATCTCTCGAATCCAAATTGTAAATAATAAAATTTCCCATTATATCAGATCCTTAAAGATTATCTGATAAGTTATCTACATTATTTGAAGATCGTCTGGATTTGGAAATCGAGATCACATCAATTTATTATCATATGATGATTATCGATTATTTTTTATCTATAAATAGTCAAAAAAAAAATTTTTTTTTTTTAATTTCTTTTTAAATTTTTTTTTTTCCAAATATAATGTTATCCTCACGCACCACACGATTTTCGGTGAAGTCGATTGTTCCATTTCGAGCATTTATTACTAGCTGGGCGCATGTTCCTCAAGGTAAGATTATTCAAATAATAATAATAATAAAATAATACTAGAGATTTCATCAAGAGCAATGGGATAATAAATTTATTATTGACCAAATGGTTATCTTTTGATCAACAACATTAAAACGTTAAAGGACCGCCCGATGCCATTCTTGGTGTTACGGATGCTTTTAAAAAGGACCAGCACCCGAAAAAGATGAACTTGGGTGTTGGCGCTTACAGAGACGATAAAGGTAAACCGTGTGTATTGAATGCGGTTAGAAAGGTTCGTGAGAAAATGACGAAATAAACAAATAAACTCAAATCCAAATATAGAAATGATATTTTCTTTTACACAATTAAATCACAAAATCATTTATTTTTTAAAAAAAATGGATTAAATACAATTATACTTATTACAGGCGGAAGAAATGATCCTTAAAGATAAGCTTGAAAAAGAATACCTTCCAATCACTGGTCTTGCATCCTTTACCAAAGAAGCTGCGCTCTTGGCTTACGGTAAAGATTCGGAACCGCTGGGAGAAGGAAGAGTAAGTTATAAATCGATGAACTTCAATCTTTTTAAAAGTTTTTGTATATTAATAATGAAATGATTGATGCCGTGTAAATGTAGATAGCTGTTACACAGTCAATTTCTGGCACCGGTGCGCTCCGGATCGGGGGTACCTTTTTAAATCGATTCTATCAACATAATAAAAAAATATTTGTACCGAACCCAACGTGGGGAAATCATCACGCCGTATTCAGAGATTCCGGGTTGGAAGTTGGACAATATAGATATTATGATAAATCAACTAATGGTTTAGATTTCAATGGTTTCATTGAAGATATCCAGGTAAAAACATTTTGGTCTGATATACGAGTCATTTAATAGTATGTCTTTTTTTTCCTTCTAAAAAAAAAAATTTCGTTCAATTGTATGATTAGAATGCCCCCAAACATTCCATCTTTTTATTACACGCCTGCGCTCATAATCCTACTGGAGTTGATCCAACGCCACAACAGTGGGATCAGATTTCTAAAATTATTAAGGTATAAATATCTATGATGAATGGTTTTAAAAAATCCGGATACGTAATTTCTATCAAGGGGAGTAACGCGTCAAAACTTCAATACGTCAATACATAGGAACGTAGTCATTTCACTTTCTTTGATATGGCCTACCAAGGATTTGCCTCGGGTGATACAGATCGTGACGCATATGCAATTCGAAAGTTTGCCTCTGATGGACATCGAATTTGTTTATCACAGTCATTTGCCAAAAACATGGGACTTTACGCCGAACGTGTTGGTTCTTTTTCAATCATCTCCGACAATCCAAAAGAGAAGGCAGCGATAGATTCACAGTTAAAGATTTTAATTCGACCAATGTACTCGAACCCTCCGATAAACGGGGCAAGGATAGCAAGCTACGTATTAAGTAATCCCGAATTGAACAAGGAATGGTGAGTTTTTTTTTGTTTCGAAGTTGGTGTCACGTGTCGTACGACAATAATCACGTGTGATTACCCGATAGGTTAGGCGAAGTCAAGACCATGGCTGATCGGATCATCACGATGCGCGACAAGCTCAAGATGCATTTAGTACAAGATTTTGAATCCAAACATAATTGGAACCATATCACAGATCAAATTGGCATGTTTTGTTACACGGGGTTAAAACCCGAACAGGTAAAAACCATATTAATAAGCTCTGAATGGTGACATTCCAAATGTGCCGAGCTCGGCTAAAGAAACAAATAATAATAATATTTTAAAATAGGTTGAACGTCTCACCAACGATTTCCACGTATATTTAACAAAGGACGGACGGATTTCAATTGCCGGCATCTCCTCACATAATGTAAAATATTTGGCTGAAGCTATTCATGAAGTAACAAAATAAATCATTTCAAATGAATGGACAATATTTTATTTTTCAATTATGTGATTTATGCAATACCCTTTTTGTACAATATTTGTAAATTAAATAAATCACATTTATTTGTTACCTAATTGATTGTTGTGATCACAATTCTATCAGGAAAATCAATTCCCGATAGACGGAAATTTAAAATTTTATCGGAAATATCCGAATATTAATTATAAGTAATTTCATAAAAAAAAAAATATTAAAATGGCAAGTGATTGGAAGATCATCAAAGGTTGTATGGAGAATCCGATAAACGGAAACGAATTCAAATAATAAACAAATGTGAACTTAAAAAAAAAAAAAAGGTCCAACCCATATCTTTTTTTCAAAAAGGGTTACATAAATATTTACATGTGTCTTATGTGAAAATAATGGTACAAGATATTAATTTTTTCTTTAATTTGGAAAAAAAAAATTTAAGATCTTTTACCTCAATGAACCTCCAAAAGGATTAGCAAGACAAAGTTAACTCTTTTTAGACTTGAGATGGTCTTTTATTGAAATCTTTTGGAATTGATGATACCTGATATAAATATATGTGCGTGTGCGGGGTAAACCTTGTTTATTTGAAATATATGATATCATTAGAAAAGCTAATTTTTACTACAGAAAAAAGACAACATAATGACCGGGAATTTTTTTTAAACATGTTGTACCTAATTGTAAAAATTCCCATGTAAAATATATAAAAATTAATTGAATAAAATATCGAGATTGGTTTCTCAACATGCATAACATTTTTATTTACTTTTTTAAACGGTTGCTGTTGCTTAACGTCAAAAATTTGTATTTTTTTTTGTTTTTTGTTTTTTTTTCTTAAATCGGAATTTTTTATTTATTTATTTTTTATTTTTTATTTTTTAAAAAGGGGGATTTCGTGAGAAAAGGAATTGGTTTTTTTGTTTTTGTTTTAACAAGTAATTTTAATAAGAGGATTACTAAATATTAATTTTTTTTAAAAGGAGGGAATTATCGGTATAAATCCGTTTATATATTAAAG